ATTTAATTGACTGTAGTAGATATTATTTTGCGTTGTACCTAGAGTTAGTTATATTACTAATAACTCTGAGGCCCGACAAACCTAGGCTGCACGATTTAGCGTGCGTAGTTGGAAACACGTGGCCAGTGGGCTAGTAGCTAATATTATTAGCCTATTAACAGAAGCCCAGCTAAGTAACATAAAGTTGGTAGTAGCAGTAACAGTAGTAGGGTTGTTATTGTATATTCATTTGATTATTTTAATTCAACCTGAACAGCTTGTTTGGTAGTCCAACACGTTATCTTGGTAGCTTGGGTAGCGGAGTACCGGCTATCAGATAATATATTTATCTAGTGTTTGGAACGTATTTACTATTTATTTATCTGCTACTAAGTAGCTCAATATTTTAATAGTGCAATTGCCATTTAGTTTTGCTTGTTTGGCTTGGTATTTATTGAGACCAGCTACTAGTGGTGTAGTCACTCTACCTATAGTGTACTTGTATATTATTATGTGGTACGATTATTGAGTGAACTGTTTGATTCTTAGCTGGGCATTAGAGTTGTGTATTGGATTATAGTGGCCTAGTAGACCCCGCCTGGTGATAACACGCGTTGTGGTTTTTATTAGCAAGTCGTCGTGTAACTCACCGTGTTTTAGGCACTCTGGGCTTAACTATTGGATAGTTAGGACGAAGCCCGAGTTGCGTAGTCAGCAACGACCCCCTAGGAGTGTGGAGAATCGGCGTAGGTCTGGTAGTGATTATTGCACGTTTGTTGTGGTGACTTGTTTTTGACTTGTTCACAGTGCCCGTGTATGAGCCAGTCCTATACCGGTTAGACCCGGCTATTGGCCTAGTGGTTTCCCTGACCTTATCGCAGACCCTGGAACTTTACCCAGCCATTGTAGGCTGAGCTATCCCCGGCAAACGGTTGCGACTGCACGCACTTTTAATATTTATATTTCCCAGTGCAGAAAAGCAGCGTCGCAGTTACCATTTCAAAAAACAACAAATAAGATAAAATCCTGTTAAAATTAATGAAAGCCATCAGGTATGTATTCAACGTGAATTTAGTTTACAAAATTAAATTAATTCTTGTCTGTTTTAGAAAACATCAGAATAGAAATCTTCTAGTTTAATAATATGCCTTTTCAATTAATAACTCGTGTAATTTTTCTAGGAGTATGTTTTTTGGATTGTTGGTGATTATTTTTGGTAGTTTATTAACAATTTTTATAGCTATGTATTTTGGTGTACGTTCAAAAAGAGTTAGTCTATGTATTGGGAATTGATATAAATGTTTCTGACGTGTGGAATAATTATGGTAAGTACAGCATCACTATGTTTACTACGTTGTATTTGAACGCTTGTAAGAACACTTTTGTTAATACTGTACTAATACGCTAATACCTTACTTATTAACGTACTCTTTGTATATATAATTTATTTATATAACTTTCGGCTGGAATGACGATTCAACATCCAACCAGTAAAGTTAATAAAGCTCGTTCAGCGTCGTTGTTTATAGACCTATTATTTAGAAAGCCTCTGCAAAGATAATTTAATTTTCCGCAGCAATACGAATAAAATTTACGAAGTGTTGGCAACATCCTAATTACATTGAGCTCATGTAAGCCTGATTATTATTTTCCGTTTTAAATTACAATTTATGAA